AGATTTCACATTAAAAACCAGGAAGCTCTCAGAAAACATAGGGATAAATCTTTGTGAATTTGGATTTTTAAAAAAGCTTTGCTATGACACCAAAGCTTAAGTAACAAAGGAAAAAAAAACAAACCTTGATGAAAATCAGAAACTTTTGCTTCGAAGAAGATCATGAAGAAAATGAAAAGAGAAAAACAAACAAACCAAAAGAAAATGAAAAGGCAACTCCCTGAATAGAAGGTAATATTTGCCACTCATACATATATATATGCACATATATACTATTTGCAACTCATAAAGAACACTTGCAACTCAATAACAAAGGCATAAGTCAATTAAAAATGAGCCGTGAATTTTAAAGAACAATATGCAAATGACTAATAAACACGTGAGCCATGAAGTCATCAGGAAAAAGCCAACTAAAACCACAGAGAAGTACCGCTTCGCTCCCACGAGCACGGCGAGAACTGTCAAGTCAGAGACAAGTGTTGAAGAGGGCGTGGAAAAGTAAGACTCCCCATACGCTGCTGGGGAGAATACAAAAGAGTGCAGCTATTTTGGAAAAACAATTAAACCTAGTTTCCATAGACCTAGCAATTCCACTCCTTGATATATACCCAAGGGAAATGAAAAAATGATGGTTACTTAAATGTTTATAGTGGCATGTTTCATAAAAGCCAAAGGGACAACCCATTGCTGTCCACCAGTGAATGGATGGATAAACAGATGTGGGTTTGTTTTGTGGCTTTTGTTTTCTGTCATCTCCAATGGAGCTGGTAAGAAAGTAGTAGAAGGAGTTTGTGTTAGTCCGGGTTGACTAGGGTAACAAATCCATAGATACTCATATGTGTATGAGAGAGAGCTTTATCTCAAGAAGCAATTATGCACCAATAACACATCCCCACTCAGTTCAGATCAAGTCCAGGAGTGCAATAGTACCTGTAAGTCCGATATTCGCCCATGAGTTCCTCTTGAGACTCACACAACACGTCATGAAATTGAATGCAGGAAGATCACAGGCCTGTGGGTGGAACATCTTGTGGACCCAGTGGCAGTGGAAGCATCTCAACACTGACAGGGGTCTCCACACGGCTCCTCTAGCTCCAGAGCTCTAGCGTAGCTCCATGTGTCTTGTCAGCAGGAATGTCTCACAGGGAATGAATGAGTCTGTGTCCTGCCTCCAGCGAGCTGTTTATCTCCTTAGCGCCTCCAAATGAGGTCATCAAGCTGTGACCTGATTGACAGGCTAAACTCCACCCCTTCACTCTTAATCCTCTCAAATTGACAACAGATGATGTAATAACCCCAGCGTTGTTTCCTTAGGCGCCAAGAATCCTAATTTAGAATCATAGAACATCAGAGTCTGACGACCTCTGATTCTATCGAACAATCTAGCTTTTGGCTTATACGTGAGAAACCTAAGGGAAGAAGCCACTGGCTGACTGGACGAGGGGGAGGTGGGGGCTGGCAGTCCTGAGTTAATGGGATGATGAAAAGTGGACACTCAGTGCTGGTGTTGTGTGCCCTTGAGTCCAGTCCTCTGCATAGTGACCCTATAGGACAGCGTGGAACTGCCCCATGGGGTTAGCAGCTCCACACATCCGACTTCACCACCGGGAATCCTTTTATGGAGGCTGAGTATTTATAAAAAAAACCAACCCACTGCCTTCCATCTCAACTCACAGCGACTCTCCTAAAATAATTACAGGCCCAACCCCTGGCCATGATGGCCACCTGCAGGCGCCCACTTCCCTTCACTGTCCCAGGGGAGCAGGACTCCGGCCTTCTTGCATTGCCCACTAGATGGCACCAGCTCCCCGGGCAGTGGAGAAAGCCAGGCCTGACAGGCTCACTCGGTTTGGAGTTCCTCCTTCAGGCCTAGCTGCCCCTGAGCAGAGGTGCTGTGGCTGTGCCCAAAGTGGCATGACAACTGGGCTTCAGAAAACAGCACGCTCCTACAGGGCCCCACTGCTCAACGGCAGGAGCAATGGACCCTGACCTGAGGATGGTCAGTAAGGACCACCTCCTCCCCCTGGCCAGCCACCCAGAGCCCCCTGACCCAGGCTCCCTGCATCACTCCTCCCCTAGGGGCATGAGTCAGGCCAGGATGGCACCTGTTGGTCTCATTGGCCCAGACAAGGTGCAGTGGTAGTGCTGATACCTGGCTACGCTCAGCAGGCAAGTGCCTGCCCAGTAGTTGGTAGCTGCAGTCCTGCTGGCCTGACAGACCACCGTGTCCATCTGGGAGCTGCTTCTGCTCCATCTGCTCCTTGGAGCCTCTTTTCCTGATCCTGCCAGGGCCCACCCAGGCCATGTTCAGAGACTGGGCTCCTCTCCGGCTCCTCTCCTCTCCTCTCCTTCAGTTATTCATTCAGCAAGCACCCGCTGAGCCTGGAGCTTATCCTTGACACCTGGGTCACTGCTAGGCCCAGAACGAGAAGTTTCGCTCCCCCTTACCAAATCATGGTTTACTCGCTCACTGAAGTGCCTCGCGCTGCAGTTTCGGGCGGTTCTAGAATGGAGAATTTCAGAGCAGAGGGGAACCGAGAAAGGGCCCTAACCGAACCCTGCGCCTTCAGCACCCTTTCGACATGTCAGGGTTCCAGACTTCCAGCCCAGTGCTCATTGGCTGGGATCAGGAGCCACTGCAGTGAGGATGCTGAATGGTTCCCGGGTAATGTGGGGCCCGGCGCATCTGGGAACCCTCGGCCCTTTCAGGTATTTGCCGAGGCGAGAAATCAATGAAGCCTTGACTGGGGTGGGATGGGGTGGGAGGCCTGGGGGCAGGGGGGAGTTGCCCCATGTTGCTGTCCTTTCTCCGCAGGGAGGTGGGGACTCCCTAGCTGGCCTGCCTGTCTCCCCAGCTCCCATCCTGGGACGGCGAGCGGCCCGCCCAGTGCCCTTCCTGCCCCCACCGCCTTAGGCTCTCTTGGCAGCAGAACAGAGGGCACCTAGAGCGGGTGGCAACTCGCCTCGCCACGGGCTCTGAGCGGCGGGCGATAGGCGCTGGGGGGACGCGGAGATAGACAGACAGATAGCGCTCCCCTCACCCGCCCCCGCCCCCACCTTTCCCACGCGGGCGCGCTCCGGCCCCCTGGCCTGCGGACCCTGGCCCCTGTCTCTGCCCACCGCAGCGCTTCAGGCCCTCAGAAGTCCCGGCAGTCCGCCCCGGGGGTCTGACTTTGGAAAAAGGCGCTGGGTCTCCTACGAGAGCCAAGTCCACAGGAAGACCCCGCGCGGGGCTTGGCCCGAAGCCGTTTGAGGAGGCTGCAGAGCCCAGAAAGGCCGCCAGGGGACGCGCTGGCATTGCGTGTCTCTCCAATGGCCCGCCTGGCTAGGTTGGGGAAGGGGACAGCGGGGAAATTGGCGGGGA